TTCAAAACCCCCTTCCCCTCCCCCTTTTCTGATGAAGGGTCTAGGCCCGAAACGTCAGCCTCTCTGCTCCTATGATGCTGCTTGGCCTGCTGTGTTCATCCAGCCCTGCACCTTGTTGTCTCGGATTCTCCAGCATCTGCAGTTCCTACTATCTCTGATTCATGTTACACACAATGTTGATTTACACCCAGACAGTGGAACTGCACTTCACCGTAGATGTATTTACACTTTTAATTGTCACCTGCCTGCGATCTACTGTCTACTTAGCTGTCAGACTAAGAATCAAACACCAGAAGCTACCCGTACAGCCTTGATATATTTGTGGGCAGAGCAACGGGAGAGTCCACAAGGGTCACAGAGTTTACAGAATCATACAGTACAGAAGAGGCCCTTTGGCCCTTCAAGTCTGCACTGCCAGAATTATACTGCTACCAAACCAGCCCACTTTCCCGCACTGGGTCCTCTGTGGATCCTTGAAAGAGTCAACTTCATAAAACCTAAGTGGGCACTGGGTTAGGATAGTCACTCACTCCCTGAGGATGGCACCTCCTGGCCCAGTAGCTGACACAGTTCTGTGACGGTGTCCAGAGACATCCTCATTCCATGCTGGATCTGAACTTGGCTCATCCGGAGGAACATTGATGACAATAGACACTGGGCCTCGTGCCCTTCCTCTAAATCCAGGGGTGGACCATGTGCCAGGAGTTTCTCCATGTTGGAGGCTGCTCGGCAGATGTTGGAGTTTGATGTTGATCCTGGATTTGCCAATACCTTTGAGGCTCCTCAATTCCACTAAGAGCCAGGAAAAACAATGTTAACACCAACGGGAGCTGGATCCAATCAGTAGGGCAGCAGTGAACCCATATGGGACTCTCTTCAGAAACTGAACAGCTCCTTGGTGATGTAATTCATCATCACTCACAGGACACACTAATAAGACTTCACCAAAAGCCAAGTGGGACAGGCGAGGCCATTGGATACCTCAACATGGACCACTGACATATCATTCCTTGTTCAGATGAATACAGCACGAGCCAAGTCTCACTGAGATATTATAACTGCCGGAGGGATACTTCCACTTTCCCCACCCACTGCATCCCAAAACACCCAGTGGCTTAGTGGTTAGCAATGCTACTTAGGGACTTGGGTTTCATTCCAGCCTTGGGCAACCGTCTGTGTGGAGTTTGCACATTTTCCGTGTCTGCATGTGTTTCCTCCTACAGTACAAAGATGTGCAGGCTAGGTAGATTGGCCATGCTAAATTGCCCACAGTGTCCTGGAATGTGCAGGCTAGGTGGACTAACCATGGGAAATGCAGGGTTACAGGAGTAAGGTAGGAGCGGCGGGTCTGTGAGGATGATGTTTTCAGGGTCAGTGAAACTTGGTGGGCTGAATGGCATCTTTCTGCACTGTAGGGATTCTATGAATTCTGGCCTTTATCACATTATTCAGGTTAGCAATTGCATTATCTAATTACGGCAGTGTCTACACAGCAAAAAATCCTTAATTGGCTGCAGAACATTTTGAGACATCATGTCGTCATGAAGAATACAATATAAGCAGAAGATTTTAAAATAAAAAAAACCTTTTCAAATTGTCTGTTATATTTCCCTACATTGTAACAGCAACTGTCCTTCAAGAACACCTCACCAGCTGGAATTTGTACATAGATGTTGTGAGGTTCTGAGGTCATGAAAGGCACTGTACAAATGCAAGTTTTTCTGACCAGTTTCTCATTGTATTCATCTCACTGGCTGCAGTGGAAGGTGTTTGAGATGAAGGAAGTAAATGTGTTTCCCCCTGTTGAGAGCTAGTAACAGAAGCATATCCTTCTTGTTATTGCAGCCTGTGAATCAATAGCAGGGTCATAGGCCTGACTCTGATATTATTGGAACCTTAAATATCAGAACACGTCTCCCTCGAGTCATTCTCTGTTTCTTCAATCCCAAATTCTCACACAGTCTGAGAAGACAGGC